CGATACAAAAGTTTGTCCCAATTAAATATTTTCTGCTCCTATACTACTATACAACTGTTTCTATACAATTAGAGACTACCGAGCGTCCAAAAGGAAAGTAATATTAATTTTAACAACGATATTTAACGAACAACGATATTTAATGCAGTATTTACCATTTGGATTGTATAATTCTAAAGAACCTGTAACAAGAATTGTACTTCAGCTTCTGGGTCAATGACTCCCATCTCGATCAGGTTTTCGTCCAGTTTCCCTGATCCTCGAGCAAATGCTGAGATGGCCCCTTGTTTTGCTTCTGGACATACATGTTACTTCAATTTAACTTCTCTCCATAGCACGTTATACACAGTTTGTAACTATTTGACGTAAATAAATAAATATCGTCATACATTCAGTGTACGTTTGAATTTTTGGATTTTCAGTGATCTGAATAAGAACATACAGTGTTTCAGGAACTCTCTAAACTAAATTCTGAGTCTGAAGTCTCCATGTTGGGAATATTTTCTCTAATTTTTTGATAACTTTTTGTAAATCTGTCTTTATAGATCTTTCATTATATAGTTTACATGTTTTTACAGCATACTAATTATTGAATTAAAATCAGTTGAATTATCTTTCACTTTAGGAATGAGGTCAGGTACTTCAAAAGAGTTTTCAAGGAATAATATGAATTGAGTGCATGATAAGGAAGTTGGTATCAATAAAAGTTTTGGTTGGGAGCAGAAAATCCTCTACTGACTTGTTAGGTAAACTATCTTGAGAAGCATGTTCTTCATTTGCATTTCCTTCACTCTTTTTCTCTGAGGGTTTATAGGTTTGGTCTTTACATTTTACATCACTGGTTGATATATTCTAGGATATGGAGGATAATTCAGATGGAAGGCTTCTTTTTTTTATAAGAGGGAAGTTTGTATAATCCATAGCCACTGAGTCAGATGCTTTGTCACATAATTGTTGTGGAGAGGGAATCTCTACTAAAATAGTATCATTATTGTTATATGTAGCTCTATTTATAAATGATGTGATGTTAATGTTAATAACTGGACATTTGCTGGAAATGTGGCCTTCAGTTTTATATTTGAAACAGATAATTTGATCAGTTATTAAAAATAGTCTTTATGATGTATCTTCATATGGGATTAAAAGTGTCTGGAATAATTAATGTACTTCATCTGGGTGGACAAAGACTTGTCTTCTGAAGCTCATAATATCGAACACACTTGGTTCAGGTAGACTTACTTTGAGAAAGATAATATTAGAAGTTTAAACATTCAAGTTCTGATTTTTATCACCTAATGTGGGATAACTGGACAAACATAGGTTATTATAACTCTTACATATTTGATTAGTAAGGCTTTAACGCTCACTACAATGTCATCAATAGTAAAAGGTTGATGGTTATCTGTTAGGTCGTTAGCGATTGTCTCGGTACATAAGAATACACAAATCCCATTATTCGCTATGCGCGACACAAATCGAATATCACTAAGATTGATAAAAGTTGATAGTTTACTCACATAATCTTTTCTTGTACGTCCTTCGTGGGTTCTACAATCACTGCTTGATTCTTTGGCGGGTAGATGTCCTTTGCCGTAGCTCCAGCATAATATTTGATCCATGTTGTTTTTGGGCGTTCGGGGTTATGTTTTCCCTGTTGTTCGGTGTATCCATTTTGACGCGAGTTGCCAGTCTCTTGAGTAGCAGCTACACACAGAACACACTTGAAGAAGAAACTATATCACAGTTTCGTTTACATATACACCAAATAAGGTATAGAATCACTGTCGAGAGCACACGCAACCATACGATGTTGCTAGTACCGCGGACCGCCGCCGACTATGTTCAGTATTATTCGACAGTGTTCTAAGAATTTTTATTATCCGCGCACGTTTTCTTGAGCCCTCGCTTCGCTAGTAGCGAGAGGTGTTTTGATTATTTTGACAAAAGGAAATATGTATCAAATTTGTAGTTTGTTTTTCCGATACAAAATATTTTCTATAACACGGGAGCAAACATTTCTGGTTATCAGATTTTTGTCTACAACGCTCATTGCTATCATTTATTCCTCAATCACGTAATGTGGCCAGGAGATGGGATAGGTATTCCGGAGCTCAAGAAAACGTGCGCGTATAATACGTTAGATCAAAGTAACAATGAGTGACTATTTTCAATAATTACATTCGTGACGCGAACGAAAATTTAAATTCATAATCAACATATTACACGAAGAATAGAAAAGTAGTGATTTCTGTATAGTACTAAAAAAGTAATTGTAGTAAGCGATTTTACCACCACGAAACAGTCAATAGATATGATTCAAAAGTAATGGTCATCTTAAGCTATTAAACCGAAAATTATCTACAAAGAATTTATTACACAGCGAGTAACTAGGCAATTCTATAAGGGCACTCATCTTCGTGTATGTTCTCTCAAATGAAACAGTACCGAAGTATAGTAGTAAATATTTAAGTGGGGAAGATGAAAACGCATCTCAGAACGACGAAAAACTATTTTATCATCAACCAACATAAATAATCACACATAAATGCGAGAATGTAACGCGGTACGTGAGACCCTTGATGACTTCGAATGAACCGCGTTCAACGTCGTCTTTTTGTCCCAGCCCCGCTCGCGCGAGCCACCCCAGCTGAACGAGACGCTTCCTCCCTGCCTCCAGCCAGGCGCCGTCCATCAGGCGTCCATTAGACGCGCGTGATTAGCGCGTGGCGGGCCGGGGCGGCGCGCGGGCGGGCGCGGGCGCGCGTCGCCGGCGTCGCGGTGCCTCCCCGCCCCGGCGCCGCCCCCTCCCCCCCCTTCTCACGAGCGCGGCGCCGCCTCGTTATTATTTTTCGTAATTGAGCCGCGGCCGGCGACGCGCGCTCTGTATCGCCGCGCGCCCCGCAGGCGCTGGTTGGTGCCGGCGGGTGGGGGAGGGGTGGGGGTGGGGGCGGGGCGCGCGCCGCGGGGTGTACGAGCACCTGCCGCCCCGGCACGCACGCCGCCGTCGGGTGGGGACGTATGAGGGGTGCGGGAACTAACGAGCTTCTCGTTACTCTGCCTGCCTGCGGACAGAAATCTTCTTGCTTCCTGGTCAGAGAGCGTAGACTGGGAGAGGTGGCTCAGGCTTCCGACTGAACGTTAACTTGCGCACCTCTGAATCTCTGACCTCTGAAGGGTTGTAATTTCGGAATAACCGTTTGAAATTCGCTAGGTCTTTAGATCGTTCACATCAATGGGGTAAATATCAATTTTCGAGAAAATCGTATGAATGGTTAGGCTCTAGCATTGACCACATACATCTTTCTCCCCCCCCCTTCAATCTATTTCTCGGTGTCAAGTGCCACTAAGGGTGGGGAGGGGGTGCGGGTGGGGCGCGCGCCGAAGTGCACTTGCCGCCCCCGGCACGCCGCCGCCGCCGCCGCCGTCGCGAGGGGACGTATGAGGGGTGTGGGAATAACTCTGCCTGCGGCCTGAAATCATCTTGCCTTCCTGGTCAGTGCGAAGTCTAGGAGAGGGAGCTCAAGGTATCAACTGATGTTACTGCAGTACCTCTGATAGGGTTGTACCCTTGACAGTTGCAGGATTTTTGACCCTAGTTAGATCGAATTCAGCCGCTGTCTAGGGCAGAATTCAATCAGTAGGCTGCTCTGATCGGTAGTTTTCCGTGGTTTCTCCGATTCATAATAGACGAAAGTCTGAACACTACTCTAACAAACTGGACATGGACCGCGCGCCATCTTTCCTTTCTCTTCCTTGTCCTTCGCCTTGTCCTTCCTAGTTCTGGAATTCACACCGCTTACCTACACACGCTTACATGCACTGTACTACCATACATGCCGGGAGATCGGTAGGGAATTTAGAGCTTGAACCCGGCTGGGGCGGTGCCCCGCCGGTGGGAGATATCTGGTTGGGGAAAACCCCGCAAGCCGACGATAGGTCGGTGCCGGATCTCCCCATCCAGAGGAAGAAGATCACCGTCACAGCACGAGAGAAAACATGCACTACACTTACGGGACTAATGTCCTTAGCCGTTGATGTGTCCGGAATTACTAATCAATTATTCAGTGCTTAGATTTGATTTCATGGGGTTGAGGGAAGTAACAAGGTTACTCTTCAAAATCGAGATCCTAACAGGCACCTTATTTCGTAAACGTTTCCCCATATTAATGATGTTTCAAATTGAGTCGTTTTGAGGGAAGTAATGACCTCTTCCTTGTTCTTCCGGGTTCGAGCTGTCCTAGCCTTTCTGTTCATTGCTTTGTTCTGGTTGAACAGTGTTGAGGAACGTAACAAGACCATAGTTAGTCTTCATAATTGAGTATTGAACTGTCCATTTAGCATTCCTAGCTTTTACATATTAACAATGTTTCAATGCTACATGATGAGGAACGTAACGAACTAGTGGTTGCTCATCTGGACCTCATGTCAGAAGATTCGAATTGTTGCAATATTAAGCGCATTTCAGATAGAGTTGAGGGAAGTAACATACGGAGACCAGTGTTCTCATCTGAACAAGGTCTTGAAATCGCCTCTATCTCAGGCATTGTTTTTTTTTTCAGGGCTACTCTCAGTTCCCCATCCTTTTAATGGCATTTCCGATACAGTGATTTTGAGAAATGTTGAGACGAATTTCTTGTTTATATTCCTGTATTTTTAGATCTTGAACTATCACTTTGGTATTAATTGTAAGGAATTAAAAAAATGTTTGGACAAAATTATCTTTGTTGTTATTTGTTTGCAAAATATATTTCCAAAACTCCCTACGAAAATACACACAGTATTATTTCGCACTCAGATTATTCCATAATTATACACGTAGAGTATTTTCGCCGACTTCATGCAGCATCAATCTTACCATAATCCTCCGCCCTTACTGGTTTCTGTGCGTGGGCGTGACCTTCGTGAGGGATGTGTGTTTAAAAGAGGAACTGGTATCTTTACAAAAATAATAGTGTCAGCACCGAAATAGGTCCACGGGCTATCTCGGTCATTTTTTCCAGGTACGCATTCGAGATGGATCTAAGGGCTACCTCAGCCTGACTTTCGCGGAGCACGAGGGTGAATTCTTTGGGAAAGGGTCTCGGGGCAGCAATGGTGATCACGGTAGGAGCCTCAAGCTCCAGTCGATGACATTCAGGAAGAGGTCAGGAGAAACAGGAAGTTAGTGCCCAACAAAGAAAAAATTGAACACCTATCTTGAAACGTTTTTTCTGTAAATCAATCTAACATTGTATCCGAGACTTTGAATTGAATTGAATTAATGCCTTATTTTACGTGGCAAGACTCAGGCCATTAAGCCTGCTCTTCCGTCTGCCACGCAAATTTCGCTACGCTCGTTTCACCAACTAGCAGAGAAAGGAGGTATTTCTTGAACGAGAAACAGGCGATTTGAATTTAGCTCGTCATTTAGGCTTGAGAATCTTTTACATGCAAGTAAATCTACTAACATGGGACAGACGGCTTTACTTCCCCTCCGAAGGAAGGCGTACGAAGGATTTTTTCACCCTTAAAAATCCACGGCTTCGATCGGGTTTAAACCCGCCATCTTGGGTACAACAGTCCGAAACGCTGTTACATCATCGCCGCGCGCAAAGACTTTGCTGATAACTGCTGATATTCAACATTCGCTCATTACTCATTAAAATATTTTTCTTCAATCAAGAGTCAGAAAAAGGGTAATAAAGCGGAAGAAACCTAGTGGTGCTACAATAGTGTATACTTTCTCGCATTATTTCTAACTTTTACAATTTTCTAAAATTCAGAGAGTTCAACAAAAATCAGACGTGCGCCATTCTTTTAAGCCGCGCATGTTCTACCCGTGCAAACACTTTGGAGTAAAAATTTAGAGCTGTTTTTGAGATTTTGAAAAAAAAAATAATTTATAGCAAAAAATAGGTGAAAAGTACTAGTTTCTTTAAAAAAATTGTACATGACCATTTTTAAAAGTCTGATTTTTGAGATTTGGTTTAAAATAAAAGCTCTATTTTCAAATTTGTAGTTTTGAAATGTTACTCATTTGCAATTTTCGAAAACAGTGTTCCCGGAAATGTGACTAACGCCATTTTTACCGTTACCGTTTTGATAGACACGAGTTTTTTTATACAATTTTGGAGAAAAATCGAACGGATGGACAGACGAATAGACAGAGATGTTTTTGCTGTGAATCGATTCTTCGATATCAAAGATCTATATAACATGGATTCTGACTACACAAAGTGTTAGAGGAAGTAATATACTATATTTAGGATAGAGATATATTCGTTGTTTCGTTATCAGGGTCCGGCAATAAGAGGTTTTCTACCGAAAATTCGCCATTTTTCGGCGTACGATTAGAATTCTTTCTCTTCTTATAAAAGCTAGAAAGTAAATTCAGAATTACATAGAACGATCGATTGAAATTTTATTGCAGATTGGCAACTTCATACATCCGTCGGTCGTATAAAAATATTATTCACCCGTCTGTAAGGATATTGTTCTTACTTTTCCTGTCTTGAAAGAGATATTTGTTATGAAATTCCTGGTTTGCACAGTTATTACCTCTGTACTACACATTATCTAACGGAAACGTCTAAATACTGTATTTAAAGCTTGGAATTGCAAAAATTCCTTTTACAAATTTACAAATATCCAAAAACATCGAATTTCTGAGAATTGCATCTGCATACATTGTATCTCGTTAACCATGTAATCTGATGCATTGCATCCTAAACTTTAATTAACTTTAAGTACATGTTATGCTCAAAAACATTTTATTTTTATTCCCTTCAAAATTATTACAATTAACTCTCTTGCTCTCTTCCGGTTTTCAATGCCATGTGTTAGACTTGGTGCATAAATACGAATTCTTTCTACAACGTTTTGTTGCTCTTTACGTCGCTTTCAGGAATACTTCGTGACATCTTCTAACTGTTAACTTCAACGCAGGAATGCTGAGAACACGAGACAATTACCGAGTCCTGTAATTATTACCTGAACGCTGATTACTTTTTAACGAGTCTTCATGAAGAACATAGTAGTACATTTATTAAGTAAATGCCTTGTAAGACAGCATTCATTTTCATGAAGCGTGACGAAAAGAGAGTTCTTCGTGATTTAAAGCTCTCATTTTCTTTTAAATCTCAGAGATAATTTTTGGACCTTATTGCATCACGTTGTCACGTAACTGACGCACTAATGTGGTTCGAAACATCATGCACTATTATTTGGAATACTTTCTCGCGTTATTTTATACACCGTACTTAAGTAGTTATGCAACAACAGCGCATACTTTCTTGTATTATTTGTAACGTTTGAATTTTAGATGTCAGAGAGTTCAACGGAAATGAGTTCTGCGTATTTCTGAGACATCCACTGTCCCCGAGGAAATTATTGAATCAAAAACTTTGAGAAATTTTGGAGAAATTTTTGTTGAGGCGTGTCGTGCAAAAACGATAATATCTTTAATTGGATTGTTGGTGAAGTAGATACCTTTTTTTATTTTGATAAAATAAATGATCATTAGTGGAATTAAAATATTGATACCTGACAATATCTCTATTTATTTATCAAAACGATAATATCTGTTTCAATTCGCAGGAAATTGAGTGCAGGCTGATTGATATGTTTTGACAAAACTCCTGCTTGCAATTGGGAAATCCTACTTACTATCGGAATGTTTTGCGAAAATTCTGCTTACAATTTAGCCGCTAGCATTGTTCACAAATAGACGTTCGGGCTGATAGACGGATGCTGTCAAATGATTTTTCGGTTCTGTAAAGGACTCACAAATGATTGGGTAAAAACCAGAATGGTATTAGTCACATTTTATAAAATCCGAGAAAAAACGTGTTTATTTTACTTTGTAGCAATGTATTTTCATGGTTATAATGAACAATTGAAATGCTGTGGTTTTAATGATGAAAATAGCACCATGACTTTACAGTGATATTGAACCAAATAAACAGATTTCTCAAAATTTATACAAAGTAACTTATTCCATTCAGGTTTTCACCCATCAAATAACAGATTTATTCACTTTTTCTATATAAGACCGCACATCATGAGTTTTCTGTCAAAAAATCACAATTTTTTTGCCGCAGATTTACAATCCTTTCTCTATAGTACGTAAGTAGAGAGAAAGTAAAATCATGGTACGTTTAGTTCTCAAAAGAATTAAAATCAGGCAAAAACGTCCAACGTAAAGCAATAGTGAATGCTATTCAGAGGTCCAATTACCTCAAGAAAGAAAGTAGGAGCGGATTTAAAATGAAGGAACAATGGATTGTCTTTTTATTTCAGTACTTTCAAAATATATTACTTGTAAAAAACGGAGTGAATTTTCAACTCGTAATAAGTCTCCTAGTAGTGTTCTATCTTTTCTCGGTGACTTTCAAAAAGAATTACAAGAGAATTGGAGCTAATGTGGCTGTGTGGCGGAGGCGAGAGGCCAAGTGGCCAGGGATGCCCGTGGCGGCGCGTTGCGGAGCGGTCGGTCACCCGGAAGTGCCCGCCGTCCATTGGCCGGGGCGGAGGGGGGCGGGGCCCGGCGCTGATGAGGCGCCCCGTGCTTCTGTAACAAGAGGCCGCCGGCGTCGCGACGCCAGCAGAGGCGGCGCGCCCAGACGCGCAGTAACAAGCAACCGCGCCGTGGCCACTGACACGCTCCTTAAAGGCCGTTGGGCCGGCTTTCCTACACGCTGCTTACGTTCTTTTTTCTTTCTACATCAAAGCTTACAGCAGAGAGGAAATATTGCCTTTCTTCTATACATTCAGCCTGTTCTCTTCAAGATCATTATTTGCCCTCTATTCCTCCTGGATTTCTCCGTCTGCTGGTTTCCTGGCTTGTGGCTCGTACTTATCTTTCAGTATTCATTCTTGATACATGTTTGTCCTACTCGTTTTCTTCGCTCAGTTCTTTCTGTTTTTTATTCTTCATTTATTCCCCTGCTTCTTACTTTGCTCAACCTTCTCTTTCGGAAAATTATTGATCTTACTCAGCATTTACAAGGTGTGAAATGAGTTTAAATTTTTAAAAATTTCGGGAATCGCTCTACGTATGGTTCCTGTCTATTTTTGTGCCAATTCTACTCACGTATGTAGTAAAACGTGCTTGTTACTCAAAGATCGTACAGTTTTGACATTTTTTTAAAGTATTTTCCTTTTAATTCAATTTAACTTTTCAAGAAAGACGACATAAATGAGATTTTTTCCTGACTTCTAGAAATATACATACTGGGTTGGAGGTAAATACTTTTTTCCAGAATTATTGAAAATCAACGAAAGTGAAGTACTTTGTAATAAATCGGTAATTAACACCAAGGGAATTTCGGGAAATTTCCAGATAAAGAATAGAACATATGAAACAAAATATCATTTGTCACGTTTGATTGGAAATATTATATTTTCTTGATGTTCTCTTCATCGCAAGGGTACTTGGCGTGATTAGGGTTTGCATAGAGCTATCACGATGTGAAATGTCTTTGTTATTAAACTTGAGGGAAATAGTGAAGGCTAGAAACCGTGAAAACAGTTGAGAACGGTTATGATAGATTTAAGGTTTCGATAGACATCTAAACATTGCCTTATCGTAGTCCACATATCTATAAATCATAGCAGTACAATGCGTACTGTTGTAACTCTGCGTGATATTTTCTTCAGGTTTTTGCGAATAAATACAATTCAATTCAGGGATAAGCAGAACGTCCCAATAATGCGACTTAAGCAAACAAACCTGCAAATATAATGGAACAATTCTAGCTGGCAATTGCTTGATGAATTTGCTCGTGGCGAATTTAAAGCACTATTATAAGAAAAAAGAAATAATACAGAAGATTGATGATTACTATTTCAATATGAACAATTTTATTTAAACATAATTGCTAGTGTTACTTTACTTTTATAGTTAAAGATTACAAATAGCGGAATGTATAAACACACATCCCTTAGAGAAATATTACCAAGAGACGAAATAGTAAATAACAGTGAATTTGCAGAATGTTCGTTTCATTTGGTATATCGATATTAAAAGTTTCATAGAGTGCAGCGCAGTATTCACATGGACACGACATAAAGAAATTCAGATGAAAACGCCCCTAATCCCTAATTCCTCACGTACAAAGTACCAC